GTTTCAATTATTATTATTCGCAAATCACAAATGTAACTGCAAGACTTCAGTACTCCCTTTCATCATTGTCGAGTCCATTAAATTTCTATTATTATTACAAAGTATTCCCATCCCTCCAGGACATCTCCTCCTTTTCTCCTTATCACCATTTCCATTTAATGTCAGGCCAGGACAATTATTAATTTTAATAAACCTCTCGAGCGTTTCCTGTACTTCTCCTTCTCCATTTTCCCCTCGAACCTCCTCAGCTAATGATATAATTTTTCTTCAGTTAACTAATTGAATACATTTGCGCAAAAGGGGGGCAGTGGGTGTGTTTGGGGGCGTGGCAAGTTGGCTCTGAAACACATGGCAGTCTGCGCACAAAATGGCAACAAAGATTGTTAATAATGGCAAACAAGCGAAGCTACTGAAGTTTCCACTCTTGCCCTGCCACTTGAGCATTGACAGGCGAATTTTCTTGTACCTTACAGATAGCAACCCACTTTTCCTCGCCCCTCCTACTTCATTTTCCTCACCCCTTCGAAGAAGAAGAAGTTAATTTGCAGCGACGGGCACGCAAAATCGAGAGAGGGGAAAAGCAAATGGGGAAAAGCTTCTGCTTTTTTCGGTTGGGCAGAAGAAGGGGTATGGAAAAGTCTGTGGGGGAGGGGGAGGTGGAAAAGTCTCGGTAGGGAGCCAGGAAAAACCAAGACGAAGACGAGCACACAAAACGACATTCCGCGGCAATCAAAGGGGGAGGTTGGTAGGTTGGGCGGAAAAACAGGGTCGGAAAAGAGGGAGAACGCATTACAAATTCCATTACTTTGAGCAGCGAACATGACCTGATTTTTATGTATATGTATGCGTGTCGGTGTCTCCCGGCAAGTGTGTGTGCGTGTGTGTGTGTATCTGTGTGAGTGCGGGTGGCGATGCTGCGGGAAAGAAATTAGGCGGGCCAAAAAACGTAGGAAAGATAGCACGAAGATGGCAACAGTCTGCTGGAGTTTACACTGAAAATAAAATTGTTTTAAAAATGTATATAAAATTCAAGGCAGTAAATTATACTGAAATTTGTAGATTTAAGTTAAATAATATAAATGTAATAAACCATTCTAATAAAATAACCAATTAATTTCGAAAGAAAAGACCTAAAAATATTCTTTCGTCTTGTTTGGTATCTAAACAGCTGGAACAAAACTTAGGATTCCATTTCTTTTTATTTTAATTTGGCTTTAAGGACCCGTTCAGATTTAATTTAATTTTTAGTTCATTAATTATTTCTAACTATTAGTTTGATTTATTTGAATAATCATAATTTCTTTTTATATAATAAACATTTTTATCTCATCGATATGTTGTTCTACGTTTAACTCCTTACCTTCATTATTTTCCTCTGTGTATTTTGCTCCTTGGTGTGCGTGCGTGCATATTTGAGCCACGTATTGGCCAGAACCTCCAGACTCCCACCTCCCCCTATTTTCACTGCCTCACGCCTTCTTCCTACTTCTTGGCCACTTGTCGAGTCACGTAGCAAAAAGTTTTAAGCATTGGCACTTGCGACGTGCAATGGTTTTCCCCCCCTCTTCCTCTTCCCCCTAAGACCGCCCACCACCCACTTTGCACCGCCCACCTCCCCAGTTAGACAGCTTCCTGCCCCCACCCCTTCCCTCCTTTTAGCAATTTTTGGCTATCACAGGGCAATAAATTAACAGAAATGAATGGATACGGGTTGGGGCATCAGTAGAGTGGCCTACACACAACTCAATCTAACCGCCTCCCTTTTCCTTGGCTTTTTATGTGTGGCAAGTGCAGAGTGTAGGCCTAAAGAGGGAGGGGGTGAGGCGAAGGGGGATTTAAGGAAAAAAGGGGAGGCCTTTCTGGGGTGGAGTGGTGCAAAGTGCAGTGGGTTATTGGCGCACTTTTATTACCAGAAAAATTGCTTGTCGCACGATTCTCTCACTTCTCATGCTTCATTTGGTCTTGCCTTCTGTTTCTCAATTTTTTTATACACAAGGAAAAATATAAATAACTTTAGTAAGTTATTTAATATTACTAAAATATAAATCGTATTAAAGAAATATTTTTTTGGGCTTTAAAACCCTAAACCTTTTTTTTTTTTTGGTAATATTTTATTTTTAAAATTAATAATTATTTATATTTCCTGTAAACTAAATCATAGAGTTTAAGTACAGCCATTTCATATTTAATATTAATAATAATTTATTAATAATCCTAGTTTATAATCCTTTACTTTCTCTGTACCCTCGCTTTCGCTTTACTCCTTTGCAGGACATTTTGCACAATGAAAGTGTCACAAGTTGGATGGGCGTGCAGCCCCGGGGCAGTTTTGGGTTGGCTGGTTCAAAGTGCACTTTATTCAATTAAAAAGTATCGAGAGGGGTCAAAGGGGCAGCAGAGGACCAAAAAGAGGAGGTCATGGAAGCCTTTCGACATGTAAAATGTTGTAAATGTTTGCCCAAGGCAAATTGTCCAACCAATTATGATTGCCAAGCCAGGAGAAAGCCGAATGGCTGTATGGATAGATGGCCGAATGGATGGATGGATGGGTGGATGGTGGTTTGAGGTTGAGCTGGGATGTTGAAGGTTTTGCGGATTGTGGGTCGATTGTGCTGCCAATGTTGAACCAGTGAACTGACACAGTTTTCTGCAGCTTAAAGCGACGACGAGCGGAAGGCAGATGGTCTGAAACGAAATCTTTTATGGAAAAAATGCTTAAATAAATAGGTAATGGGGCAAAGTAATATTTTAATATTGTTTTACGAACGTGAGACAACTATGGACAGAGGAAAATGGAAAAATAATAAAAACTGCTTAAAGGGGGTAGAATAAAAGCGGTTTATAATATAAGTTGTGTTAAATTCTCTCTAATATAAAATGTTAAAAATAAAAACAATTATTTTGTTAGATCATAAAAAAATGTAAGAGTATCTAAAAAAATTGATTAACATAAAGGGAAATAACTAAGATTTAAAGTGACATTTTAGTAGCCTTGTTAAACATTTTTATCTATTATCATTATTTTAAATGGCCCCGTGTAATTGCATTGTTAGAAATGTTTATCTATTATTAACGACTTCCGATGCCACCCACAAAATCTCTCACCAAGTTGCTAAGCTTTTGATCTATTTTCCAACTTACATCACAAGCTTCTTCTAATTTTCACACCATACAAAAGTCATACATATTTCGCATATTTCCCATTGCTCACACAGCAGTCGTAAATAGGAGACTGAACAAATCATGTGAACTATTATGGCAATTTGCAGTTATTAATCAAAAGGGCGTCGTCTCCTCGTATTCATCAAATATGCAAAGGCAATGGAATCAGCGTTGCAGCCAGCCGAAAGTGGCAGAGATTTACGACCTACTTCCATATGCATGACAGCTGCAAAACGCTGCCAAAGTGACTGACTAACTAACCAGAAACTCCAGAGAGCACCGAGAACCCTGAAACACTGAACACCGAAATTGCCAAAAGGAAAGGCAGGCGAACTGGTCTACATATGCAAATGTCTGCTCCATAACCCTTCGCTTTTCGCAGCCAGATCCTTTGGCAGCTCCTTTGGCTGCCTTTGCCTGCAATTTGCATTACTCATTTGACACTTTGTCTATCAGGTGGAATCGCAGACAGCGAGCAACACCTGCGAGTCCCGAAAAACAGAACAAAAAGATGACAGCAAAAAAAGCATACAGGAATAGGGATCCCAGAGCACAGAGACGAAAATGAAGACGAACGCTCCTTGCAAAAAGACGTTGATGAACGACAGCCTCGTCAGAGGCACAAGATGCAATCCTTGAGTGCCAAGGCAACATGCAACTTTTACACTCGGAAAATATTGGGAATCAATAAGAGAAAATTGCTTAACATGTTGAACTGTTGAAAATCACTTAAAAAAGTATTTAAAAGTATACAAAAGTATTTTATTAAACTCTTAATTTTGTTGGAATATTACCAAAAGTCGACTTGTATTTTTATAGCCTACTTTTTGACACGTTTGTAAATCTTTTAAAAACGCTATATTTTTTCAACAGTATTTCTAAAGAAAAACATTCCTTATTTTAAAATAATTTAAATTGTATCGTTATAGTAATATAACCAAAGTTTTAATTCCTTACAAAATGTCAAAAATAGTTTTTGTCACTTTGAATTTATTCAAGTGCATTGTAAGAGATAGCTGCGAATCGTAGAGGAAGTTATACATATGCTTGATATAAATCTTGAGAGCAACTTTGCCTGTCATGCACAACATGAAACCACTAATTGATGTGAAGGCAGTCCCCAGACTTGAGACTCCACTCTCAACACTCGAGAGATGGAAAAACCAAACCAAACCGAAGACGAACTAAGCCAAAACTGAAGGTTAGCTGTGGAAAGAAGACTTCTGCAAGTCGTGTTGCATGACTAAACTTTTGGGCTGCCTTTTCATTATTAATCAACTGCGAGAATTTCACATCACAGTTAACAGTAGCAGTTGCAGCTTCTCCAGTTGCCAGTTACTCACTGTCATGCCAATACTAATTAGGGTTAAGTAATTTAATTTTTGTTCAGTAATAAAATGCTTTCATTGCTTTGCTGCTGACAAACTATTGTCGCTCACAAAGGAAATGCATTAAAATGTTTAAATGTAAATGGCGCAGATTGCTGTTATGGGTTTAATTAAAAGAATAAAATGGAATAATCGGAATAAAAGTGTAAAAAAATATTTAATTTATTAATTGAGGAGATATGGTTATTATTACATTTTTAATGGATTGAAACGAAAGACATTTCCTGTTAATTTTATAGTCTTTTTTACAGCTTTTTAAATAAAATTCATTGAGATGTGAAAAAATACTTTTATGACTAGTTAGCTATATTTTATGAATCCTAATGACTGTCTTTATTTGTTTTCCAATATTTTAGATCTTAAATCATACATCTTTATTTTGTTTGCAGTATCTATAGATAGTAAATCATTCTATACTTATATTAAAATTGATCTTCTCTTTTATTTCAGGTAAGTTTTCAATCCCCTGGCGGAACTCCACTATCTTAAATCTACCACACTTTCTGGTAAGCCTTTCGCGTCCATTGTCAAGGACAAACACGCCCAGAAACATGAGACTAACGCGCCACATAATAGTCGGTCATAGCCGCCATATAGACCAGTCAACAAACCCATTAGTCTGTCCCATTTATAACTCTCCAAAATGTCGTCTCTCGCATTAAAAATAAAAAAAAAGAATGAAAACTTTCATTATGACATTTTATTGTCCTGGTTGCCATTTGCGCCGCTCATTGTGGCTGATTCGCCGGTCGGTTGTCGTTTTTGTTGTTGCCAGGAGACAATGACAATGATGATGGGCAGGCGAAGCCATCCAGAATCGGGATCTCCAGCATCCTCGGCAATGTCAGACGAGAGATGAGAAAAGGCAAAGGCAACAAAATTGGAAGGGGAGTTCTGCCAGGACCTCAACAACAAGCAAATGGTGTAACTGCTGCCGATTCGCCTGTTCTAGTTGTTGTTCTTCTTTCAGGCCATGTCACCAAACACCAACAGCAGAAAAGTTCTAGGTTGTAGCTACACAAAAAAAAAATATCTAGAAAAATATAGACTTATAATTTGATGGCTTTGAGATTTTACTTGCATTTATAAATATTTTTGTATACACACCATTTTTATAATAAATTTGATTAAGCCTTCCTTTTTATCATATTTTCTAACATAAAATGTTAAATTTTTCTAGAAAAAATTTCATGGTTTTAAATCACTTAAAAAAGTGTATAAAAGTATGCAACAATATATTTTTTTAAACCGAAATTCTGGTAAATTCTTTTATTTTTCTCCGTGTATTTATCATCCGAAACCCTCCACCCACAAAACTCACTTTCTATTCTCTACTCTATGGTTTTTATTCGCCTGTTCTCTGTTTGTTTTGGCTTGCTCTTCTGTTGATGTCCTGACAATGGCGTTGATAATTATTATTAGTTTTATTATGTAACTTTAATGCTAGTTCGGGGACTCGTCTCGTCTAACGCGACCTTTGAGATGAAAAAACGAAGAGAAAAACTAAGGGGCCAAGCTCTCTTTTCTATTTGCTTAAAGCTTAATACAACACGAGGATTTTTGTGAAAAGTTTTTCCTTTGCCAACTGAGATGGGAACATGATTTTGTTTGCTAATTAGTGAGATTTAGTTAAACAAAAAAAAAAAAGGAGGGAAAAAAGAAGAAATACTAAGTGAACTGATGGTTTTAATAACACTTAAGTGTCATTAGGAGATCCTAGACTTTTTGTTACAATCAAATGGGGAAATCACTTTTAGTTGATTGTAAAGTAAAAGCTTTTTCGAAGAACATAATTATATTACAAATGTCAAGCACTATTATTTCATCATGAATAATTTCCATTCATTATAAACTTTTTTCTTTCAAAAATAGCTACCAATGATTCTTTTCAGACATTGCTAATTCATTGTTGACTTTACCTGGTTCATATCAAAGTTTTTATTTTGTTTTTCCCTATAAACTTTTCTTGCTCAGTCGAAAGCAAATTCAGCGATCCCACAATACAAATCTTCTGCAGATTCAAAAGGAGTTGTAAAACTTCTCTTGTTTAAAGAAAATAAGGAAAACTTCTCAAGAATATTTTCCGACTCTCCGCTCCCTTTCTCAATTTCTCCTTTTATGCCTTCAGCTTAATTAAATAAAATGCAATTTAAAACCGTTCATTGTGCAATCGCTGCCTTTTCTTGTTGGAACAAAGACCCCTTTGCACATTTCTTCGCCCCCTTAACAACCTGAAAAACAACACCCATGACGTGGGGCAAAACGAAGGCGAAAATGAAGAAGAAGCAGTGTGGGCACCTATAAGGATGCAATGTAAACTGGAAGTTAAGGGGTTAAAATTAGAGTAGGAAGTGGTTGTTCTTAACCTTTAGCTTGGAAAATATAAGAAATTCCATTTTCCGAAAAATATTTTAAGGGAAAGTACAAGGTCTGTGAAGTTTTAAAATAACGTTTTTTTAATACAAATATTTAATTTTCAAATTTTTTTATCTATCTTCAAAAAATTGTTTGATAATAAGTTAATTAGGCAAAGAAATCATATCACATTATTAAACAAACAACATTTTTTTAATAAATAATTTGAAAGACTTTCACTACATTTAAATCTTTAAATTAAAATATTGTTAAAATTCATTACAATGGTCATTCAAGGGTTAATATTCTTTGGCCCCTTAGCGAAAACAAGACGCTCACACATGAGCTGATTACAACGAGGTCTGCCAAATGCCACGCCTCCAGTCCGCCCGGCCTTCACCTCCCCCCGCCCATCACCCATCGCCCACTTTTCCATGTCTGCGCCTTGCGTCTTAAGCAACTTGCGCGGTCGTTTAACTTTGTGCGGCGGCGATTAAATTTCCAAGTTCTTGGACTCCAACTCATCCCACTTTTCCCCTCTCCCTTTTCCGAGCAATTTTCCTGCTTCTTATCATGTGTTTACTATACTGCGGAGGAAAAAAAGTATAAGTGGGCATAAGTAGGCGAAGAATGCAGGAATGAAGGCGAAGAAGAATTGCACTAAGCGCATTAATTGAATTGTAATTGCCGACGTTGTACCTCCGCTTTTCCACCAACCACCACCCACCGCCGCCTACCTGACCACCCATTTTCCGCTTTTCCATCAAGCATCTAGAGTGCTTTATTGTTGTTGTGTCACCGATTTGGGAGTTTCGGAATTGGATGCGGAATGAGAATCGCCAGCATTCGCCTGCCATTCAACTGGTTTACCCACATGCACATAGTGATTCCCAGCTGTGACTCCTTCCTCAGTTTTCCACACCCCGAATTTCCCCCCCCAAGCTGTGAGTTTTCCAAGCTGTGCGCCAGCAGTTACCAACAACAGCAGCAGCATGCCAAGCATTTGGCCAATGCAGTCGCTGATTTGTGACTTCCAGGGTAGCTGCATTTTTTGCGGGGTAATTTGGGGTATTTCACAACAAAAAAGATATAAAAGATTAAAATGTGCAGTCAAAGGTGTCACTCGTAATTTATTTATCAATTTTAAATCTTATCTTGAAATTAGATGGCTTGCATTGCCTTGGCTTTAATTTCTTGAGTTGGTTTGGGAGATTTTTTTATAAATAAAGAAATAAATAATATTATAAATAAAGAAATTATTTCTTTGACCTATCAAAATTTTTAACATATTTTTGAAAATTAATTGTCATAATTTTTACACCTTTTAAATATTTTTTTTTTTTTTTTAGAAATAAGAAAAATGTTTCATTAGTCTTTTATAATGTAAAAAATATGTTTTAAATTATTTCTTAATATTTAAAAATTTCAAAATAAAAAGAAAGTAGTTCCAATAAAGTATTCCCTTTTGGCTTCTTGCACTTACCTATTTATACAGGGTATCTGATGGCCCCACATAAATCTCAATTTCAATTGTGCATTCCAAACACTTCTTGTTGTTCTTCTCGTTGTTGGGTTTATTTTTGTTGTTCTCGCCGTTGTTGTTGTTTTGTTTTGGTTCGGTTCTCAGTTCTCCAGTTCTCGGTTGTTTGGTTCGTTTTGTGTGTTGGTTTACTTTGGTTTGGGTTTGTGTGGCATGCAACATTGGCTGGGCCGATGGCTGATGTGCAGTGCCTCCCCCTGTCCGCATAACACCCATGGCCCCCCTTGCACCTCCACCCCTGTCACTCTCGTTTGACTGGCTTAAAGGACGCTGAAGGTGAACAACTGCAACTGAAACCAGTTTTCCCCTCATTTCCACTCCTTCACCCCGGGTGAAGTATGGTAACTTTGGGCAGCACAGGCAGGCAAACAAAATGTTTGCAGTTGCATTCACTGATTAGAACGTGTGGCAAGTTAAGCAGTTCTCCTCCGCCTTTCCCCCGCTTTTCCTGCCTCGGACAGCTTACATAAATTCACGTCACTCATACGCCACGTGGGCTCAGTTCGGTATCGCACTCACATAACACATAAAGTGTGGGGCAGTTGGGTGTTGTCTTGTTCTCGCTTTTCCAACTGCCTTCGGGCTCTTATAATCTGCAGCGAAAAGAAAATGTAATATTTATACTTACAATGGGTATCAGTAAAAATTATTAAATATTTAAAGAAGGAAGATTTGGAGAACAAAATGGGAATGTTTTATAACTAACAAAGTTTTAATACATTTTTAGTAATAATTAATAGCAGAGTAAATTAATGCACAAAATTAAAGCAGCTTTTATATAGGTACAAATTATACATTTAAATAAAAATAAAAAGGTATATCCCTTAAATCAACTTAATCTACCTTTTTTTTTCTGTGTACCTTTCCTTGCATATTTCTCTTGAAATTTTTGCCTTGCACTTCCTTTTGCTATATCAATTTTCCCATTTTGCTTCAATCAATTTATGACCTGCAACTCGCTCGACTGCCGCCGCCATTTGCCACATTACTCACGTAGTTTTATTGGCCTTTACAATGGCCGACCACGCCCCCTGGTGGCCCAGCGCCCACCGCCCACTGACTACCCATCGCTTAAGCCATTTAACCCTTTTGTGCATTGCGAAGCGTTTTAATTTGCTCACCGCCTGCCAGCAGGATTGCCATGGTAGCATGTCCTGTTTTTATTTCATTTTCCACACACAGGTTTCTTTTTATTTTCATTGTTGAATGGCCAGATAAAATTCCCTGTACTCCACAGCAGCAGCATAAAGGGAAGATGAAGAATTACTTATACGTTCTTCATCTTCGGTTGCTTAATTAACTTCTGACAAACGAACTGCCTGCTAAATGAATTCAAGTGCCTGCTGAAATTAAATCAATGGCTTGCTGCGCATTGATGACATCACCTCAAAGTTTGCTTTGTAATTAACCAGAAATAACTTAATTAAATCCGAGTCAAACAATTCCTGACTTAATCAACCTGAAAACTCAATAACATCAAAACTATGCGAACTCCCGCTGTTCGAAATCCCCTTTCCCCACAAGAAACCCGTGAAATGTTTAGGTTTTGTTCTCGCATAGCCATTAATCAAAATAAAACGACAAAGCAAAGCAAACACAACACTCACATGAGATATTCCGAGAAATTGCTGTTTTAAGAAAATTTGTTTTAATGTTGATGCACAAAACTTCCAATTAAAACTAGAGAAATATGGGAGAGTGTAGCATTTGAGGCCAATAAATTTCATAACTCGAGAGATACATAATTTCTGCAGTCAGCCAAGTTTTGCTGGCTAAACTGAA